GCCAGTGGACGCGAAGTCAACTTCTTCCTTTGAGACAAAGGATGTTTTTCAAGAGGAGCTTTTCTTTACTGTGGGGAAGGCACTGGCCATGTAAATCGTGTTGGAACACCACCATACACCACATAAGCTCGTCATTTAAACGATTTTTCTAAGATCTGCTAATGTGAAATGTAGCGAACAAACTTTAGTTCCTGCAGCGATCGTGAACTCCTTTCCTTTGTCTCAACGAATTGCATTGATCCACTATTTTCCCTAAGCTTAAGAGGTGAATGGTGGAAAATTTATATCCCTTCTCGTGGCGTTCAGAAACACAGCAGCTCGTAGCCACAGCTAAATAAAAAAGACCAGACTGACGACGAAGCAAGACTTTTCTGGGGAAGCATTGTCAAAACAAAACATGAAAGCCTGACTAGCCTTGCTTTCATGCGACTTGTCCCAGGCACTGACCGAGTGGTCCACCATATTTGCATTTGGTGTATGATGTTTTTTTTTATCATATTTGGTTAAAAACAGTATGGATTGTGTCTGTGTGATATGCAAATTAGCTATGAAATGGTATCTAATGCGCATGTGCTCCAGCTGACTGTGTCCCTTTAGCAGGCGCCCATCACTAGGAGTGTGCAACTACCCCAATTATTCCTTTCCTGGCCTTTTTGTAGACCCATCTATTTTTAGTTTGAATTTACTGCAAACTCAGCCCCCGCAGAAACCTCAGTGACCAATCACAAGCACAGACTTTATAATTTCACCGGAAGATTAGGTTGACATGTCCACCTGAAGCTGCCATTTTTCTCCTTACTGATTTGCGCTCACATAGACTGGATCTGACCTTTTTCATGGGAAAAGAAGCCTAAAAAATAGACCGGTCTGTAAAAATACCATGATATAGGCTTAGTATGGGGGTTGCAGGGTCCTAGTAATGGGCTCCTGACCAAAGTTGACTCTAGGGTACATACATGAAGGGCTAACAGCATATAGCAATGCACGTAATGCATAATAGGGCAATTTCTGAAGAGTACTTTATTTGGCAAGTACAGGAAAGATGAACACTTCCTCCTTTAATATGATATGGCAGGAGCCCATAATGGGCTCCAGGATATGCCTCAAACTGTCAGAATTAACAAATTCTTGAGTAGCCATTTGGCGACTAAGTGATAAAAATCAAGTAGGAATTT